CGCCCCCGGCTTCCGTACCGGCCCCCGCCCCCGCCCCGGGGCGCCTCTGGTTACTGTTGATCCAGGGCCATTAACGGTTCGTTGGCTGCCGGGGCGAGAAGTGAGAGTTTCTGGTTGGCGCCCTTGCAGGAAGCGGTCAAGGGTCTCGGGACCGACCCAGCCATGGTACGTTATTTCAGGCGTCTGCAGAGCCTGTTTTCTCACCAGCCTCGTCATGGGACGTCCTGGGCCAGGTAGGGAAGGCTCTAGAGCGCCCTTTCCCGGCCTCAGCACTGTTCTTCTGAGTCGTTTGGGCGAGATTAGCTTGTTTTTGTGCTGTTGCTATTGTTGGTTTCACCTGGAAAAGTGGCGCGGGTGGCCTTTGAGCCCCGACAGATTGCTTTCAGTCTCTCAAAAAGTTGGGTGCCTGGGAGCCCACCTCCTCTTGGGTTTCTCAGCCTCGGCAGGGGCAGGACAGGGACCTGTACACCCCGCAGCCTGGGACGGGGCCCTGAATCTGGAAGCTGCCAGCCTGCTAGGAGACGACTACTTTATTATTTTTTAAAAAACGCATGTGGGTTTTGCTTTCTCTTAAAGTGTCTTAAGAAAAAAATGCTTTAAGCCTGAACTCGAGGGAGATGCTCCTTGGTTATCTTGTGGCTTCGCAGCCCGCGGTGCACCTGGCTTGAGAAGGGTGGCTCTAGGCCAGCAGATGTTTCTCTTTCTGCTCACGTTATCGAGCGTTATGTGGTGGGCCCTGGGGGTGCAAGGAGCCCAGCTAGGTGGAGGAAACATGCAAACCCACGTGATGCCATGAGATCTGTGTTATGACGGGGCAGAGAGGGGTCAGAGGAGACACTGGTCACTTTTATTTGGGCGGCTTGGGGTAGACCCTGGGGTAGCTTCTCCATTCAGTGTCCGGTAGCCTTGAGCTTTTAGATACGGATGCCTCTAAACTGGAGTTTGATTAGAAGAGGAATTTGGAGCCTGGAGAATGGAAGCCCCTTGTTGCTTGAAGGGATCAGACCCAGGGCATCTGGCTGCCCAGCTGTTTCGAGAGCTAAGAGGTTCACTGTTTCCCCCATGGGCCTTGGCACACAGATTGGGGTTTTGTGGGATGCAGATTCTGAACTCATTTAGCCCCATAGCCCTCGAGTACTGAGGTAGATGACTTGGTTGGTAATTGACTTGTTGATTGATTAATTTATTTATCCTCACCCGAGGATATTTTTCCCCATTGATTTTTAGGGAGAGTGGAAGAGAGGGAAGGACAGAGAGAAATATCAATGCAAGAGAAACACATTGATTGGTTGCTTCCTGCATGAGCCTGGACCAGGGCCCTGACCCGGGAGGAGCCTGCAACCGAGGTACATGCCCTTGGTGGGAATCGAGCCGGGAACCCGGGAACCCTTTGGTCCGCAGGCCGTCGCTCTATCCACTGAGCCAAACGGACTTGGGCTGGACTTGTTGATTTATATAGATACTTAGAAATATTGATGTTTTCTTGCTTGGGCCTAAATAGTCAATGACTAAGTTTCCTATTGCCTGTGATCCATTTGAAATCCGTCCAAAAACTGCTATTCCAAATATGTCTCTGTTTATTGAATACATTTTAGTCCAAGAGTATATAGCCCTGATACTACTCAGGCAGCTTTAGGCGTTTTAACAGTAGATGTAGCTACTCACAGCTCCTTTGAGCGCCCTCCGTGGGGCTGACAGAATGATTGGATGTGGAGAAATTGTACAGAACAGAGAAAGGATGGTCTGAGGATGGAGAAGACATGGTGGTTATAAGTAGGTGGTAGGCCCAAAGAAGGAGAGGAATCCATCTTCAAAGACAGCAAATGATTTTACTTGAGGACCTGAAGTGGGCGAGGCACAGGAAGGGGGCGGGGCGTCAATAATGAGAGGACAGGACACATTGCAGTGGTGCAGTCTCCTGCAGGACAGTCACTGACGAGCAGGGGGGATTCCTGGGGCCCTGAGGAACCGTTCAGTGGCACTTGCATCCAGCTGTTCCCAGTTTGCTCTCTTTCAGATGCCAGGAAACTGGACAGAACAGCCACTTCACAGTGACAGTTAGTATTAGTAAACTACTTTAGAGGAGAAAAATCTAGAAAAGGGAAAACCCACTTCTTGTCATAGTGTGACAGATCTTCTGAGTCCTTCTATTTACTTTATAACAACTGGCCATACATACAGTCTCTCAATTTTATTATTTTAAAATGTGTTTTTAAATTAGTTTCCATGTGATATTATTCTGTATTAGTTTCAGATGTACAGCAAAGTGATTAGAAAATCATATACCTTACAGCGTGGTCCCCCAGCCTAGCCCTACACCTATTTATCTTGGTATTATTGACTGTATTCCCTATCTACATCTGTAATCTACATCTCTGTGGCTGTTCTGCAACTACCTATTTGTCCTGCTTACTTCCTCAATTTTAAATCTAGGAAGGTCTGGACCTTAACTTTAAGGCAGAGATGGCTGAAGCCCACAGAGTAGAGGAGTCTAGAGGGAGACTGTTCTTACTTAGTGCCAGCAACTGGTAGGATTCAGCTTTCTTTCCTTTGATCCTCGTTGTAATCTACATCTCTGTGGCTGTTCTGCAACTACCTATTTGTCCTGCTTACTTCCTCAATTTTAAATCTAGGAAGGTCTGGACCTTAACTTTAAGGCAGAGATGGCTGAAGCCCACAGAGTAGAGGAGTCTAGAGGGAGACTGTTCTTACTTAGTGCCAGCAACTGGTAGGATTCAGCTTTCTTTCCTTTGATCCTCAAGTTCCTTGGTAAGATGTGTGTTGTTATTCTTGTTAGAACTAAGGAAGCTGAACCACAAAGCAGGTTACCTTTTTCAGTCACACAACTAGTTCTCTGGTTAGGTTTTACCAACTCCCTTTTGTGAGTTGACTGGTATAGTACTTCAAAAGCATGGTAGACATTCACCTACCTATTACCCTTTCACAGGAAATTGGTGCAGTGGTCACCCATGGTCATGGAGTGAGTGAAAGACAGTGAGATCTACTAGGGAATAATAAACATATAACCCATTGGGCCTTGAGCAGCACCCTCCTGGGCAGTCCCTGAGGGAACGTCTGTCTTCCTCTGTACTGGCTGCATACAATGATTTCACTCACTGAACTCCAACGTTATTCACTCTTTAGCATGATATTTAGGAATAACTTTACAGGTAGAGTCATGGAATGAAAGGCAAAAGTAGCCAGTTCTCTATTATTACATAAACTAGAGGCCTGATGCATGAAATTCGTGCAAGAGTAGGCCTTTCTTTCCCTGGCTGCTGGCACGGGCTTCCCTCTGGAACCCGGGATCCCGGCTGGCTTCCCTCCAGCCACCGGCAGGCACTCAGGACCCCGGCTTCCCTCGCAGCCCCAGCTTCATCAGGAAGGACATCGGTCTAATTAGCATATTATGCTTTTATTATTATAGATATCTAAGGGATAAGACAAAGAAGGAAAGCTGTTCAGTTTTTCTAAGAAGTATTTCCCTCATTCCTTGATACTTTTGGGATTACATAATGCTAAATGGGCTATCTTATACACCCCGGTCAGAATGTCTGGATGTTTTTTTTCATCTTTTTTATCTGTCCCAAGTTCTGGGATAGATTATCTCTCTTTTAGAAGAAAAGCAAACCTGGCACAAATGCCATGGCAATCCAGGATACTTGAGGTTTTTAATGTGCTGTAGCTTCGCATTTTTAAAGAAGCACTATCCAGTAGAAATATAATGTGAGCCACGTACCTGATTTTAAATGTCCTAGTAGCCCTATTAAAAAGTATAAACAGCCCTAGCCCGTTTTGCTCAGTGGATAGAGCGGCAGCCTGCGGACTGAAGGGTCCCGGGTTCAATTCCAGTCAAGGGCACCTGCCCAAGTTGCCGGCTCTATCCCCAGTAGGGGGCGTGTGGGACACAGCCAATTAATGATTCTCTTTCATCATTGATGTTTCTTACTGATGTTTCTATCTCTCCCTTCCTCTCTGAAGTCAATAAAAATATATTTTTAAAAAAAGTATAAACAGCCCTGGCCAGTGTTGCTAAGTGGTTAAGAGCATCGGCCTATGCACAAAAGGGTCACTGGCTCGATTCCCAGGAAAGGGCATGTTCCTGGGTTGCAGGTTTGATCCCAGGTCTGGTTGGGGCGTGTGCAGGAGGCAGCCAATCCATGTGTCTCTCTCATATTGATGTTCCCCTCCCCCATACACTCTCTAAAAATCAATGGAGGATTAACAACAACAAAAATTTTTTAAAGTATAAACAGATGAAATTAGTTTTAACTCCATACATCCTACATATTTTAATATATAATCAAAATACAATTGTTTATTATATAATCAATATAAATGGAAATATATAGTTTTACAATTTTTCTTCATACTAAGCCTTTGAACTCCAGTGTGTATTTTTCACTTACAGCCTGTCTCAGTTTGGACCACCACATTTCAGGTGCTCGGTAGCCACATGTAGTTAGAGTACTACTGTATTGGACAGCCCAGTCTTAAAGCAAGTGGATTATTAGTTAGGGTGGTTCCATAGTCTGTGGGACTTCTCAGAACCTGTAATAAGCTAATTTTCATT